CAGGCAGGAGCATTACAGCTTACCTACTTTTGTCTAGAACTAATTCAAAACAGTCACCACTTAGGAAGGACCTGGCCTTATGTGGGCAAATGAATGCCTATCTTTAGGGACAAGGAGAACACTCACAGATGCATCTCGTCAGTATATGCGCACATATGCAGACCCACCTACAGGGGTTTTCTATACAGTGCAGAATTCCTCCTCTTTTGTACATGGGAGAAACTCATCCAGTGGTCATCGACGGCCACCCTGACTGTGAGCAGAGTCAGCCTATCGGACGGTGACTCAGTCATGTTTTATTACCACCGAGAATGAGCAACAGAGGGATCTGGACGAGATCTCGTGTTTGTTTTGGCCCTGGCATTTTCCACGTACGCAGCCCTGGGAATCCTAAAGAAAAACGTGTCCTGTTCCCAGCTCTGCACTGCCCCCATTGTGTTCCACTTCCCTCACTGGTCAAAGTGAAAACGAAAGCCACACAAACACCCCATTGTTAGCTATGAAATATGTACTGGCAACTGCAAGTATTAACAAAATAGCCCTGCTTGTGTCATGGCGAGAGGTTGAGACCGGAGGGCGTTCCAGGAGCCTTTCCTGCTTCAGAGGTGTGTCCTGAACTTTCGCTGAGGTGCTGAGGAGACAGGACTTTGGGGTTTTTCCATGACACTCATGTAATGCTCTGGGTTTGGTTCATTCCGTATGCACTGGCAGCCTCTGGAGGCTTCTGTGGGAGCCACTCAGCTGCCGAGCCTGTGGCTCAAACCCTGCCAGGTCTCCATAGTAAACACAACGTGCACAGAGAGGAAACAAACATAAAGAATTTGTTTTCTTGTATAAAAGATGACATTGTTCTTCAACTTCTGGTCCTACTTCACTGTCACTTGAGCGAGCCAACGGGGTGTCATGCAAGGAGTTTACTCCAAACACACACACAGAATACAAGTACAGATTACTTGATACACACACATCCAGTGGAGCTGAATGCCGACAGGTTCTGGAAGGATGATGCTGTGACCCCTGCCAATATCCCACGTCCTGGCACAGGTGACCAGTGTGGGTTTCTCTGTCTTCAGACTTGGTACATCCATGGGTCATGTGGCTCCACAGAAGGGGAAATTCTTCCCTGATTGATTGTATTTTCCTCTGTTTCTAAAGACACATTCCTTCGTGTGACTGTTAATGTTCAGATCTATTTCCCAGTTCTGCTTGTAAGCTGTGAGAGCAAGGACCTCGTCCGCTTTAGTTCAGCATCACCTCTAAGGTTCATAGACAGAACCTGGCACAGAAGAGGTGACTGGTAATTACTGACTGAAAGCCAGAACTCCATTTCCTTTCCTTTCCTAAGCATGTAAAAGTCTGTCTGAAACTGAACAGTTTCTTCAGTGTTTACCAAGTGCTAACAACACAGAGACAGGGACACGTGTGTGCGCACACTTTCATGCACACACACCCCTATTGCCTTAGCCTGAAACAGTGTAAGTATTTCGAAGTGTCAAACTGGCAGTACTAAACCTTCAGTGCCACTAAATAATCCCCTAAATTTTTTTTTTGCGTCTCTAACAACAGCCTTACTAGGTTTACTACTGTCTCTGGTGATTTTTTTACACAGGAAAATGTTTGCAGGACTGCACGACCGTTAATACTGAAGATATAGACAAAAATAAAGAGCTTTGGAGGAAAGTCTCATGCGAAAATGCTGTAAAGCTTTTACAAAGATCTAAGAGTACAAGCTACTGTTAAAACCAACCAAACAAACAAAGAAACAAACACCAGTCACACAGAGACAGGTGAAGAAAAAGCTGTCTAGTAATTCTCCTATTCCTTTCTTTGGAAGATGTTAATTATCTTAGAAGAATACAAAACCTCTTCTAAAGCTTGCTAGTATCAAATTACAACAAGTTAGAGAGAATGTCCTTTAGTAAGCGCAGTACACTATCCCTGCAAGTCCCGCAGCTCTTCATTCTGATTCAGCCAGGTGTCTGAGAATTTCTGTACATGCGAGACCCAAGTTCAAACCAGCTTTCAGTCTTTACATCAGCCCAGACTATGGCCTGTAACTGTCAGGATTTTTGCTCAGAGATTCTGGCCAAGGAACTCAGTCAACACCACGATACAGAATGAGCTTGGGCATTCGAAGGTTTGACTGAGTCCTTCACTTTAATACCAGTGAGTAGCTATGTGGAATACTGAAGCCATTAAATGTATAAGCAATTCTCCCCTGATTTTTCTAATGACTCAAATGCCTGTGTCTGCATGTTGGCATTTCTTAACTTATTAAAAAGTATTTCTTAAATGCCCAGGATAACATCCAGGTGGAACAAGACTGAGTATCTCACTTCACGTGACTCACCACTGCTTTATAAGTAAAAGCCCCAAATAACTACCAACAAGATAGAGAATATCATGAAAGCTCATTCTCTAGGGGCTGGAAAAAAGGCTCAGAGGCTAATAGCAATTTCCATGCAATAGTGAGGACAGGAGTTTGGATCTCCAGTCTCCACACAACAAGCCAGGCATGCCACAAATAACTCTAACTGAGAGGGAACTGACTGCTTCTACTGGCCTCCTAATGCACATATGTTAGCGCACCCTGCAACTATCACTATCTGTCTCTCTTTCTCTCCCTCCCCCCCTCTCTTTCTTTCTCCTCTCTCAATTTTTTTTTTTAAAGACATTAAGCTAGCAACACCAAGAGGGTTTGCAGGAAAGCTGTGTGAGCCACGCCTTGGAAATGAGCAATATACACATTTTTCACAGCAGTTAAGATGGTGGTCTCAGGTCAGTTAACCTGCAAATCTCTCACCAGTCTGCAAATTAAGTGGCTTTCCATTTCCTTGTGTGACATAACCTACTGTAAAATGGGTATTTCTAGGCAGTGGTGTGCAGCCTATTAAAAGAATACTAAAAATAATCAGTTCAGTGATTCTGTTTTTATACGTGTATGTAAAAATCAAAGCATCATTTTATGAGGTGGATTTTTCCTGTAAGCAGAAAAAATACTAACACGTGGGAAATATTTAAAACGCAGTACCCTAAAGAAACCATCCCTTTTAATATTACCATTAAATACCAAACATCGTACTTTGGAATGAAGTCTTTCCCATTTATTATGTCACTATGGTAAATATAAAACAGACAACACAAACTAGACATCAATATATCTAGCAATAGATATATATTTGCCATTGCCCTTTTCTTGGGGTATGAGATCATTAGTCTGTATTTTCCTGCTTAAACATGCCAACTCTCAGCAAGAATGGGGTGTCAACTGATGTGACTCACAAGCTGGGTTATCATTCTTTGAATTTAATGAGGAAAAATTAAGCAAAACTCAACTGGGTTTTCTGTTTTTATTTATAGTTACTGTGGCCAATTTAGGGGGGTGAAGCTGACTCACCCTCTTGCCCACCAATTAATGTGCCCAAGGAGTAGTTCCTCCCTGATCCTCTTAATCACAAAGCCTATTCAAGCTTCTCCCCAGGGTCCCCCAAAACAGGCACAGTCACTTCCTAGGGAAGCTCAGTACCTACCTCACCCTTCCCATTGGGGAAGCACACAAACTCAGGTCCTTTCTGGTGTGGTTATGTAAACGTCAGAGGCATGCTTCACTCCGACCCAAGCTGAGGCCTGTTCTTTAAATATCCACTTGGGCCTTGTCTTCTGTGAGGTACTGGCAAACACTGAGCCAAGTAAGATTTATCTTTCAAGAGGCACAACATATTTCAAAGAATGCTCCAGAGCAATCTGGTGCTGTGGTTAAGTATCCAGCGTTGGGAACGGAGGGTTTGCAGGTTATGGGATTTCTGAACTCGGCGTAGAGAGGGAAAGAGGAGGAGGCAGAAGAAGGTTTTGTGAGTTGAATGTTCTTCCCGGCCAAGTGAGTTTTTTTTTTTCTTCATTTTCTCCACTCCTGGACTTCACCTTTGCTGCTGATACTGCAGGAACCTGGGGAGGCTGCTTTTGTTGTTTGTTCTTCTGTGTAGAATATCAGCCTTCCTGGAGCACTCGTGTCAAGGATGGAAGCAGCCAATTCTCTCCCTCACATTGTACAGTGGTCAATGGTTCTATCTCACGTTTCCCAACAATGGCCCCCATCCGGGCCAGGGTCTGCGTTCAGCCCCTTGCAGGCTGAAGATGGATTTTTTTTCCTCCTAAGTTTTAACTTGCTATGTCTGAGGGCAGCTTTCCTACAGCTTTATTCTCTGTATCCATCTCCCGTCCGCTAGTAACACAGCAGAGGAAGACAGCTTCACTTCTAGCTACTCACAGAGCACGTTATAAGAAAAGAATTATTAATACCGACTATCAGGGTGCTCCTCTTAGATTCTGCAGACTTCAACCAGATGGGCTAGAAAGAGAAACTGGAGTTAATTAATGGTAAGGCCCTGGATCTGCATGAGACAAAGAACAGTAAGGCTTAAGTTCTCTGCCAAATCAGGGCCTCAGGTCCTCTCTACTCCGGCCCATGTGACACTACCTTCAGGCTGGGAGGTGTTACTCATTCAGGTCTCTCAGTTCACTGTCAAGTTAATTTCTCTAGTCCCTGGTCATCATAGCTCCAGAGGAGTGGTTATCCTGACTTGGCAGGTGGTGTGGCTGTTTCTCAAGTACACTGTGGACCACGGGTGGCACTCCTCCTGCCTGCCCAAACCTGACCCAAGCTGTGCCTTCTTCTACATTATGTATGCAACTTAAAAAAAAAACACAGGTTATAGCAAAACACATTTAGAAGCGTGTAACAGACTCTTTCCTGGTGGCTAAGATGCCAACAGGCTATTTCTGCAATCGGCTCCCATCCATAACAAACCCAGTCAGATGTGTCTGAAGTCGTAGGAAACAAAGCCCCTGCTTTCCTCTTAGCCACAGCTAGTAAAAAAGCACACAGACATTCAGGTCACAGGCTAAATGTGGGCAGAAACAACATGAGGAGCATGAAGGGGGCAGTTTGTCAATTCAAACAGGAAAACTAAGTTTAACGAAAGGACAATGATCTCACTTACCACTGAGGTAAGGGCCATCTGAAAACTATAGATGCGGGCAAGGCCAAAGTCAGCCAGCTTAATTTGTCCACTGCTGGTCACCAGAATGTTCTGCGGTTTCAGATCACGATGCACTACTCTGTGAGAATGAAGGAAGTCCAGACCTCGGAGAAGCTGAAACATCATATCCTAAAGGAAACAACAAAGATACACCAGTCAACAGACGCTCAAAGCAGTGTGTACCAGCCACGGGATCCCCAGCAGTCGCCCGAAACGATGCCAGCCTCTCACCTCTTCATGCTCCCACAGGACAATGTAAAACACTTAACTCCCAGCGTGCATTTTATTAGGAAAGGACAGCGTAAGAATAGTTTCCCCTGGTATAGGAAATGTTCCAGAAGGCTAAACCTCAAACAAGCGCTGGTGGTTAGTGCTGGAGATGGGAAACAGGAGAGGCCTGAGTGGACTGAGGGGGACTGAATTTTACTTCACATTCTTTTATTTGTTAAGTAATTTCAACAGTCAGTATATGGCAAATAAAATAATGTTAAGTATTTCCAAATACTTATTAATGGTTATTTCTATAGTGATTATACCTAAGTGTCACTTTTCTTAAAGTTTTCTGTTTAGCAACTAATTCAGCCTAAACTACAACACTGAGATAAGTCGCCCTATTTTCATAGGTCAATAAACTAATACACTGAAGAAAGTGATGAAGTAAGTAAGTGTGGACACTGGGTCAAGGTCACAACACAGGGTCTTGATCTTGTGAAGAGGATAAAATCAAAACAAAACATAAAACAATTTAAATCTCTTAACATCATCCTTTATTAGTTAATGAAGAAAGAAATACAGAAAACAAGGCAAGCTACTTAAAGTCCCGGACTCGGTGTTGTCACGATGGCTGTTTCTCTTGCCATCTCTACCCTGAACTTGAGCTGTTTGCTCCCCATGAGAAATGCCTGAGCTATGAGCCAAAATAAAGCTCTTCTCCCTGAAGCAGCTTCCAGTTAGATACCCTGTCATAGCCATGTAACATTAAAATGAGATTGTTGCTGTGATAAACCTGGCCATGTGGCTCACAAGTGGCTAGAAGTGGTGTCTGTGGTCTGCGGGAAGCATGTACAAGCTGCAGGCCAGAGAAGTCTTAGTAAGCAGAACTCACAGGAACATTCCAGTCGGAGCGTGCAAGGCTAGAGTGTCAAACGGAGACAGCAGACTGCAATCATGAGCTTTCAGATGCAAGAAGAATTCAACCAGGAGCTGGACTGCGGATAATTGACAAGATAAATAAATGTGACTGAGTTCTGCTGTGCCCTTAATGTCTTCGTGAGGCTAAATGTAAACCTGGGATCCTTAGGCAGGAGGTACTTCAAGACAGTAGAGCATCCAGGCTGTGGTGCGGTCACTGCTCGCTTCATTTAGACAGGTTTATAGTAGGATTTCAAAACCAAAAAATGGAACAAGATAATGCAAAAAGAAAAAAGAAAAGAAAAATCTGAAATCTGAGAGAGAGCACAAAGTGCCTTAGAGACAAGGACAGGGCTGAGGACACGAGGTGAAAGCAATTATAGATGTAAAATATATTAATTAGCGCTAAGAAAGAGAAGCCATACTTTCCACGAAGACAGTACGCAAGGTGCCTCTGTGATCCCGCTCATCGAAGAGGTCAGAGTATAAAACTGTAAGCTCATTTCAAAATCTGGCATCTGAAAAGGTAATCCCAGATTTAAAAGCAATAGCCTGAAAAAAGAATAGCACCACATAGATCCCCTATTTCAAAGGGCTGCCCAGGGAAACCTATCCCTGGGTTTGCTGTGCAGTTGCTTGGACGTCACTACAGCCACACTCACAGAGGGCTACTCTCAAGCTGGCCTCAGAACTTATCACCTGCATGGTGGTATTCCCAGGCAAGCAGAATGCAGGATATACAACGTAATCGATGCTCACGAGGTTCCAGAAAAAAAAAAAGAAACAATGTCTAGCAGGGATAGAGAAGTTGGAAAGAAGATCTAAGAAGAAGCTGATGCATACAGATGTGGAAGGGAAGAAGCCTGTATTTCAATGGAGACTACAACATTATTGGAGATGCTAGGAATGAGTTTCAGTCATGCTTTCTTCGCTATCCTCACGTTCTTCTCTTTTGCAATAGCTTGGAGTATCTACTCCATATTACTCTATGTTGTAAGAATGTAACTTTTTTTTTTTTTTGACTTTACAGGTGCACACAGCTAAGAGTCCATCCAGAATCTCAGGAGACTGGATTTTTCAACAGTATTCCACTTATTACCACTGAGGATTCTTGAAACCAGACTGAATAAAGTTTGTATTAATTATGAAGTGGCCAGGAGCCCATGAGGGGCAGGAATGGAGTGCTATCCTTTGAATGTGAAATATTCCTCATAGGTCTGTGTGTTTGAACATGAGGTTCCCCACTGATAGCCCACATCTGCTGCAGCTGTGGAGCCTTTGGGAAGTCAGGCTTGTTAGCTGTCTTAGTCCAGGAGAAATGTCTTGAGAGCACAGCTGGCTCACTCCTGGCTTGGCTTCTCTGCTTCTTGGCTGTCTCAGACTTTAGCTGCTATAGTTGCAACCTGCTGCCGCCTCTGCCTTCCTCACTATGACAGGTTATTCTAAACCACTCTTCAACTGAATTGCTTCTGTTCAATATTTGACTAGGGCAGCAGACAAGTAACTACGAGGATCGCTAAATCAGTTTACTGAGAACAACACTGGTCATTTTCTAGAGTTTAGAATTGTCTTCTTGAAATCAAATCCTTAGCTTTTCCACCTGTCACATGGAGAAAATAGCATTTACTTTTCCTAATAAGAGCTTCAAATCAACCAACATAATGCAACATTAAGTTTAATCTCAGGCACACAGTAAGCATTTAGCAGATGGGAATTATTAGGCGGGAAATGGCTGTTTGCCTCCTGTTTCCTGGGAGAGTCAGCTTCACAAACAACTAAAGGAACATGCAGCCAGCACTGCATCCTGCTGTCCACAAGGTGTGGAGAGGGGACATGCAATGATATAGGAGAGTGGACATGATTTCTGAGGTCCCCTAATGGGCATTCGGAGCTGGCAGGGCTACCTCCTAAGCTTCTAAATGTGGGTATCTTGGAGAGGGCTTGCTTTGGTGAGGGGTGGCCTTGCAATACTTGAGGACTATTATCAGTCAACAGGAGTGTGAAAACGAAACACAGGATGCCAAACCAAGCCATCTTTTGCTGAGGCAAATCCGTCTTTATTGGGAGCACATGTACACAGCTTGTAAGCACAGGACTTTTAAAAAGCATGACTAACTTCAAGTCATGTCATGCTGGCTCGTCACCCTAACTTCCTGACCACTAAGCGTCGTTCTCTTAAAGTAGTACAGGGAGAGACTCTGCTTGGCTCATGTTGCACTGTTCAAACAACGTAAACAGACAATCCACAGTATTAAAAACTAAAAACTTGGACTAACTTATTAATTAATAAAGCCCATGTGAATTTATAAAAGCCTGAAACATAGAGTAAAAAGTATGCACTTCCTTTGTGTTTCCATATAGTGCGTTATAAAAAATAGTAAGTATATACAACTTTAAGTTTAAAGAAGAATTGTATGCAGCAGAGGAAGAAAACCTACTTATAATTTAACTACTGAGAACAGAGAAAATGTCACTGTCAAATAATCTTTGTGGATCTTTCTGGGTTTTTGACATAACATACATTATATATAGAAATAAAAATGTATTAAATGTTAATATGTATATGTTATTTTGTGTTAAATTATAGTTTACTGGATTTGAAAAAAGGTCACTGGGTAGAAGTCCTTGCTCTACAAGCCTGATGACCTCGGGGCAACCTCTAGAATCCACAGCGGAGAGAGAAAAGTGACTTCACAAATTTGTCCCTAGACTTTACACACAAACACACAGACACACTCATACAGACACACACACATACACAGAATCACAGATACACAGACAAACACAGACACAGACACAAACACACACACACACACACAAACATACACACATACACAGATACACAGACACACAGACAGACACACAGACAGACAGACAGACACACACACACACACACACACAGACGCACACATGCATACACACAACTATTGGGAAGATGTTGTAAGTTACTACTTTTATACAATGTAGTTTTTAGTGGCCGTGTAGTCTTCTTTCCTGAGGTTTGTCGGAAGTATATTACTTAATTTTATTTGGTGTCGTTTTGGGCACCTATAGTAGAGGTCAAGCTCTTTGTCTAAAGCAGTGGTTCTCAACCCTCAACCTGTGGGCTGCAATCCCTTTGGGAATGGAAAGACTATATATCATAGAAAACACATTACAACCTATAACAGTAGCAAAACTTTGGTTATGAGATAGGAAGGAAAATAATTCTATTCTAGGGGTCACCATAACAGGAGTCTGTATCACCAGACTGCCTTGACCCATCAGCTTCAGAAATGACACAGAGACTTATATTTATTTATGAATGCTTAGGTCTTATAGTTAGGCTTGTTCCCAGCTAGCCCATATAACTTAATTAGTCAGTTTATTCTAACCTATGTTCCGCCATGTGACATGTTACCTCTCCTTCAGTCCTGGGACCTGTTCCTTCCTCCGTGTCTAGCTGGTGAATCTCCAGCACTTGATTCCTTCCCAGAGTTCCCACCTCTGCCTGAACGCCCCGCCTTTCCTCTCTTGCTTCATGTACAGGCTCTCAGCCCTTTATTAAACCAATTAGGTAATGGAGAAGAATGTTTACGAAACACTGAGACTGGTAATGCTTAATAAAAATGAACAATACCAAAGTCTAGACAGTGTTTAATAATAATACAGTTTGAATAATACAAAGACAACCTTAACACAGAAGATTATCTCAACAAAAGGGTCTCAGCATTAGGAAGGCTGAGAGCCACTGATTTAAAGGCTAATGTGACTTGTTAATATTTCACCTAACAGGGATTAAGTAGTGTGGGGTCATAACCTCTCAGTCAGCCCATGCTAATGATACCTGGGGATGGTCGTTCTAGGTAATTTACCACTCAGAGCTGGGTGTGGTGGTACACGCCTTTAATCCCAGCAGCCTGGAGGTAGAGGCAAGCAGATCTCTGAGTTTGAGGTCAGTCTGTCTGGTCTACAGAGTGAGTGCCAGTACAGTCAGGGCCACACAGAGATACCTTGTC